TTAGGCTTTTATAATAACCGGTTTTCACCGCTGTTTTAGCATCAGTGCAGACGACTAATGTACATTAACACATCACGATGTAACACAAATGTTCACTAGAATACATGTCGAGGTACTATAAGCCATACAATCAGGTTTTGACTGCCCAATCCGAATAGGAAGGTCGAATGCGTTTCGCCAGCGTCTGACAATGGCGCGGTGCCGGTACCAACAGTTGCTCAATACACGTTTGCAACACCGAAATTTCGTGTGTGCCGTTACACCAACGGACGATTTAATACCACCTCCACTTATAGACATGCATCGACAACGCTAAAAACCATTCGATAAGCTCTTACGTTTCGCGGTTTTGATTCCGCGCCTTTGTTTACTAGCATATTTATTGATGAATGACGCAACAGATTAGTAAAGTTCATTTAAAGATGGCGGCCGTGTCATTCATGAACCGTTATCGGTTTGGCTGTATTTTTAACTCATTTGCCTTCTAAATTAGTCAAGTATTACAGTGTTAAAATTATACGTTTAATAACGTTCTTTTGTTAAGGCAGATATTTTTTTTATAAAACGCTGTTACTAACTGTCAGATGGAGCACAGAGTAAGTAGGTGTGTCTAGAAGCATGACATTTTGCCTAATACTGAAATATTAGTTTAAAAAAAGAAATGTTTCATTGAATTAATATTTGTTTGATAATTGCTATTAGTTTTGAGAAATATCATCGTGTACATGGATACTATACATATAAGTACATAAAGTGTTATTACAGTATTAAATGGATGAATTAATTACCAGAAAACTAATCGAATTTAGTACAAGAGATCATACAATAAACCTACCATTAAATAAAAGGAATTTATATTTTTATATGTAACTTATAATAAATTTTATTTTACGAAATTATAATTGCATTTTACTCAAAGATTAATTACAATTTTAATAGATATTATAATTAAATCTACTACTCATATGCATGCTATAATATTGAACGAATGACTAGAATTTATATTCCAAACCATCTATGCAAATATCCATTCAAATGGGAAGCATCCAGAATGTTCTAGTAGCTAAAACAAAGGGACGCCAGAACATTTACCATAGCATGTACCCACAGATTATAATGCAAAACAATCGAAAGTGGTCGCTTCGCATGCGTCGGGAATCGTTGGCGACGCGTCGTGCATCTACTCGCACGTACAGACGGCTCGATTTTTTGCATCTTTATATTAGGAGCACTGACCTTGCGCAATGTCAAATGGTTGAGGACGGTGCAGCTATGCCAACTGGTTCCGTTCGTCAGTCGTAGTCGTTTTAGTCTAGCAATAAACTACTCGCTATATTGCCACACAATACATACATATATATATAAACATTAGTACAGTATCTAGAATCTTCTAAACGTATCTATAGTAATATTATAATGAGATAGAGCGAATTTTGTTGTGAGAAAAGTGTGTATATTTACTTAAAAAGTATATATAGTAAATATACTCCGGAACAACACTGCTGAGAGAAATTATTGGACTGTTAGAACGAACATTTCAGTTCAATATACTGAAATGATGTATCATTTCAATATAACGTATATAACCTATATAGTATGTGACCTATCATCATTAGCTTCTTCCTTATCCCATTTATTTGTGGTTGGCGTAATATGTTTTTCTCTTCCATTCATCTCTGTTCGCAGTCATCGCGTTATTTACTTCCTTTCTTACCACATCATCTTTCTCTTTTTCGGCCTTCCTCTGCCCTTATAACCATCCACATTCATATGTAACACCTTATGTAACCTATATTAGGTAAATATATTCAAAACTTACGGTGGTCCATGAATTCTAAAAACGTTAGCTTTACGAGTTTATAATATAAGATGAACTCGCTTCCGTTATCTGTTCTCTTATATCTATTAAACTACGCAACGGATTTTAATGATGTTTTTAGCAATAGAATGATTCAAGAGGAATTTATATATGTACTACCTGTGCCCGCGACTTCGTCCACGTGGAATTTAACTTTATTTTTCTAAAATAAAAGTAGCCTAAGTTACTCCTTGTTACATCAGCTACCTGCCAATAAAAGTCCCGTCAAAATCGGTCCAGCCATTTCAGAGATTAGCCGGAACAAACAGAGAGACAGACAAAAATTGTAAAAAATGTTATTTTGGTGTATGTACCGTATTTATATTCATACGCATTTAGTAATAACGGTTATTTCAATATTACAAACAGACACTCCAATTTATATGTATAGATAGAAGAAATATTACAGAATTAAATTCTATATTCGATATTTTCATTCCTAACTTCATTGGTTGGTATGAATGGTATGAAATAGCCAGAATATTAATATAGGTTAGGTACGGATCGTGTTTTGTTTTCCGCAATGAGTAATAGGCGATTTCGCGCGCTTGTTTTTGTCTATGGTCTAGACGGCGCGTAAAAAAAAACGCAGTACAGCAAGTTCCCATGGATTTGATCATTGCTCCCGTTGGTCGAAGGGAATTTAAATAAAATTTATAAAAAACGCAATGCAATAAACAGATATGTTTTTAAAGCGGCGATCGTAAAGAATCCGCGAACGCGATACGTAGAGTGTTTTTATTTCAAAACAAATTGTTACAAATGCAGAGCTGATATATTAGTGAGATTTAAAAATTGTGCATTTAACAGCTCAATTTAAATTTGAGAAAGAAGGCCAATTGGCTGGTAGCCAAGATGCAGAAAACACGCCTCCGGAAGTGGACACTGCATGAATTTAGTTGACTTCCAATACTCGTACAGTGAGGCCAGAGGAATTATTACAATATTGTATATGAAAATCAATATTGATTTGTTTTCTTATTCTATTATGATAAAACTCTGCCAATTTATTGTTCGCTAGAGGGTATAGGCATAATACTTTTAATTTATACCAGATGGAACGATTTCACGATGTAATTTGAATAAATATGATCAAAATCTATTTTAGAGTGTATATATAAACATGTAACATATCATTAGGTTATATTAAGTTGTACTACAAGATCTTGTAAAACTTTATGACATTAAAAACACAAATAGCTTCATAAATACAGAGAAAGATGTGATCATATTTGACTAGCTGACCGGCGCAATTTGCGAAGACCAAGTATTACCATTATTTCACCACCTTATGCAGTATTTTTCATTTCAGCTCCGCTCTTATTAGTCGTAGCATAATATTATATAGCTTAAAGACTCGACAAATGGACAATTCGACACAAAAATAATTTTTCAATTCGAACTAGTAGTTCCTGAGATTAGCGTGTTCAAACAAACGAACAAACTCTTAAGCTTTATAATATTAGTATAGATAATGTAACTTTATAATGATATTAAAAGAAGAAAGAGCTTCATAAATAGAGAGGGATATGTTTATATTTGATATTGTAATATACCTCATATAAAGTACGCCTTATTAGCTTGCAATAGACAACGCATCGTACAAACAGATACATTGATTATTACGGCAATATTGCGAGTTGAATTTTAATGATCGCGCATTGTTGGTTGTAATACATTGTAATGAATTTACGGCCGTAATACCGAGATATCGCAAGTATTCCAATAATTCTGGCCTATTTATATGAAGTCATAATGTCAGAACCTGTTTTGCAAACGTTTGAGATATACGGTCTTTGCCCGCCTACACTGAGGAAATAGAGTTTTAAAAGTTGATATTACCCATATGGAGTACAATATTCAATATATTGCAGGCAAATTCAGTTGCTTCTAAATATGCAATTTAAAAAGGTTGTACATGTTTAATAAAAAAAAAATATTTTGTTCTATATTATGGTAAGTTGAAACACAATACCAAAACGTGGTAAGTTAACATTCGAAATATAAAATAATTCTAAATATAAAACATTTATTCATTGATTTTGTTGAAAATTTAAATTTCGAATAAACACTACGTATTCAATATGTCAGTGCAATTGTCATTGCCACGATTTTTTTTTCTTTATCTGGCTCCGGCTACTAACAATTTGTCCGACACTGAATTATTTAAAACTACATTGTTTTGTCTATGGTGGAAAGTACCAAGACGTTGCGACCGCGTTTTCCCGAATTCCCTACGTGTACGCACGTAAGGTGACCTTCCGGGTGCGTTCACCGGGTCACCTACAACGACCGTCTCAAACAATGCGGTGCTATTATTCTATTTATAATATCAGTCTTTATTTTTCTTCGTATATGTGTGTGTCTAATTCTCCTGTCATCCCATACGAACATGCATTCATAACTTTCATTTATCTTATCAGTCAAGGCTGTATGTAATAAAGAAAAACTAATAATGTGAAAAAAAAATTAGGAATACTAAATTCAAATTCAAAATTTCTTCATTCATGTATTCAGTAGGTCTACAGACTCTATATGTCAAGAGACATACATATAGACACGGTAATAATAATAATAAGACATTAGTCACAATATTCTTCGCGATTTCACTAGCGTGAAATTTATAGCCTATGTGTTATTCTGATGTATAAGCTATATTACTGTAAAATTTCATCAAACTCCGTTCAGTAGTTTTTGTGTGAAAGAGTAGCAAACATTCATACTCACAAACTTTGGTTTATAGTATTATATTAAGACTAGCTTTTGCCCGCGGCTTCGCTCGCGTTATTTTATCTTCTTAGGGGTGTAATTTATCAAAATCCTTTCTTAGGGGATGCCTACGTCATAGTAGCTTTATGCATGCAAAGTCTCAGCCCGATCGGTTTAAAATTGATAAAAAGTTTCATACAAACTTTCATCCCCTATTTTATCCCCTTGGAAGTAGAATTAATCAAAATCCTTTCTTAGCGGATGCCTACGTTATAACATCTACCTGCATGTCAAATTTCAGCCCGATCCGTCCAGTGGTTTGGGCTGTGCGTTGATAGATCACTATGTCAGTCACCTTTGAGTTATATACATATATAGATTTTAATTGTATGGTATGCTAATGGAATTGCTGATAATAAATGCTGGTACTCACCAGGTGGCCTGGGGTGCGCGGCGGCGTGGTGCTGCAGCGTGCTGGCTATCTGGTGGTGCTGGTAGAAGGGCAGGAAAGGGGTGTGGAAGGGCGCGGGCGGCGGGGGCTGCAACCTCGCCTTCAGCTCCTCGGCCGACCCCGCGCCTGATGACGACGACTCAACATCGGACACGCCGCTGTCAGCCGGCGAGGGGGGGAGGGAACCTGGACCAAAACAAGAAAAAACATTACTTATTATACAAACAAAGCTATAATAACTATATTAAAAAACTTTTGTTATTTATGCTGAAAAAAAAATCACAAGTGACAACCGAGTTTGTGGATCTCCTGATGGTAAGTTATTACGGTCGCCCATGAGTATCCGTACATCAGGGGAATTGCAAGTGCATTGCCGGCCTTTTAAAAAGGAATAACTCTTCTCTTGAAAGTTTCAATATCGTATCGGTTCGGAAATACCATTGCTGGAAGGTGTTTCCCAATGTGGTTGTGCGTGATAAAAAGATTATAGATTTTGTATAAAAAAAAATTGTTTCGACAGTGTTTCAACCTCGATGATAACGGCAATTTTTTTTAGCATAATCATATCTTGTTAGAGCTTAAAATTTTTTTTTATAATTTTACATCATGTTACATTTAATATATATTTCTAGATTTATAATTGAATTAACCAAACAATTTTATTTAATACTAGCTGTACCTGCGGCTTCCTACGCGTGGAATTTAACAAAAAACTTAATTGGTTAAATTTTTCTAAAATAAAAGTAGCCTAAGTTACTCTTTATTACACCAGCTACTTGCCAATAAAAGTGCCGTCAAAATCGGTCCAGCCATTTCAGAGATAGCCGGAACAGACAGACAGACAAAAATTGTAAAAAAACGTTATTTTGGTTTATGTACCGTATTTATAGTAGAGCAACACACAAGTTTCTTGCTTATTCTTCTTGTGATGAATCTGCATTCCGAATAAGCGGCAGAATAAAAAAACTTGACTATTCAAAAGTGCTTATATTAAATTTATTTGAATAAAGATTATTTCTATTTCTTTCTATTTCTATATTCATATGCATGTAGTAAAAAACTGTTATTTCAGTATTACAAACAGACACTCCAATTTTATTTATATATGTATAGATTATTTTAAATCATGTATTGTAATAATAATTTTAAATATAATAATGTAATATAAATATTATTGTAATATTTTACACGCCGGAAATGGCAGGTCATGTTTGAAACTATTGTTATTTTAAGACCATTATGTACACATGTTCCAGTAAATAAGTTGAATTGATTTGAACATACCCAAGTTTATTACTATATTAAGTCTATGTATATATATATTGAGTTAGTATCTTCTTGAACTATTTTGCTACATTTTCAGCCCACCGTTGAACCCGTTTTTGTAATGGAGCGGGATCTATTATGTTTTCTAACGGCCTCTTGCATAATATATTCGCATGCAACCCTGCAGATGCAGTGATTAATCTTCACCGTGTTCCAGACCCAACGGTCAGTCTGACCAAGGGTCCGGTGAGATTAACCGTTAGAGGCAAATCCTAAGATGCACTTGCATTCAACCTGTTTACGTATGTGAGAATATGCATGGCACGGCTACTATGCGATTGTTATGCAAAAACTGCATGGTGTTATCTAAATTTATGATTATGCAGATTTTTGTTTCCAGAACACCATAGGGTTGCATTTTTTTGCATGCTAATGTGTTTATGGTTTTTTGAATACATGGTACTTGTATGTAAATTCAGGTGAAATCTATTATAGTGTTGATTTTATTAAATTACATGTTTTATTTACCGTAACGCGCGCAAAGAAACCAAAATGTGTCATTTGTAATGAGGTCTCGAAAATAAAGCTGTACAGCCAAACTTTCTCATGTCCGGCCCTTGCAATAAAAAAGTTTGACGAATAACGGTTGTTCGGTATTTAAATAATATAATCAACATGAGCCATACAACTAGGAGGCAAGAAAGAAAGCTGTTTATTCATACATTTCCTCGTCCATTGAAACTATGACTAGTATTAAAATGACCATTTGACCGGTGTGAGCCATAATGCGCTGTCCACACCCCTTTGTCGGCATTGTTAACCCTTCAGTGTCGGACAATGAGTATGGGAACCGGGAAGCGCTGCCGGTCAGTTTGACCATTTAAATTGAGAATGGTATAACGTTACGTGTTTGGACATAATAAAAAGCAAATCAAATTGAACGCCCAAATTTCGACGGTGACTGTGTAGAATGGTTATAAAATATTCGTATTTCAATTCAGTGGTTGCAAATTTTTTACAAGTTTTATATTACATTTTTAGTGTCAAAGTATTTTGTTTTAGGGTTTATTAACGCTACATTTCTTTGCATATTAATGTTCCCAAGCCGACGATGTTATATAAAAGTTTGTCACCCCAGTTCCAGGTCGGCAGCGATGGGAGCTACTCTATTTCGGACACACGAAGTGACCAACCGGCAGGAACACGGAATTCAACCCTATTGTGTCAACCCTTTCATCTCGCGTATCAAAATAATAATAAATTAACTATAAATAATGACCGCTACGGGTTCCTATGACACGAGGGTCCCAAAATCAGGTCTACCGGTCAACGAGGAATGCGGTCCCATTAGTAAAATATCACAATGAGGAACAAAGGTGCGACGGACCCTTCCTTAATCGGACCATCTTTATGGAGTGACCACTGTCCATCCGCTTTGTGTCCCGATCGGCGTTAGACCATAATCCTTGCGAATAAAGAGTTAGAATTCGCGATTTTTTGCATATGAATACGAGAAAGATTCAGCGCAGGTAAATGTTATATAATCGCTGTTGTCATACGAGTAAGTATTGGATTATACAGTTTATGGCAGAGTTACACGTGCAAGATGGCTCGTTTGGAGAGTATTTTTAATTAATTATTTCAAAGCTTATAGTTCACTGATTAAATATTATTTATATCTCTTACGGGATAAAAAGAAATGACCGAGTACCAGACTCTCTATACATACAGTTGCATACCTTTCTTGCTTTATAAAAGTACTTCACCTGTCTTATGTTTATCAGTAAACGAAAACGTGAATTTTACGTCGGACTGTTTTATGACCTCGGTGGTCTAGCGGTCTAGCATACCGCTTTATGACCGATTGTCGCGGGTACGATTCCTCGCACGGCACAAACATTTGTATTCATGAGTATGATTGTTTGTATCGGTCTAGGTGTCTTCTATGTATAATATGTGTGTATTTACAGTTATCTAGTCCCTATAATACAAGCTTTAGCTAGCTTAACTTGGGTCTAGATGGCGCTGTGTGAATTGTCCTGAGATTACTATATTACTGTACCCGATTTACTTGATGATTGTAAAATATTTTTCTGATAAATCATTAACAATATAAAATATAAGTATTATATTTGTGCAGAGTGCTTCGTATGATCCACATTTTATTATTAAATTCAAGTAAGTAGTAACATCATTCAAGATGTCCATCCGTTTGATGATAAAAACGCGCGATCCCACAGTATATCTTTTGATGGCCCCTTTACTTAGCTCCCTTTGTCACTCGTTTCCTTTAAGATGTTAATTCTACTTAGGATTGTATGTAATTTAGATGCCACGTCGGTCAGCTTCTGGTATATGACTTGGGTATATACAATGCGGTTTTCGATCGCCATTGTTAACAATATCGTGTGTCAATAAATGGGAAAAGATATCTAAGCTAGGGGCCAGTATATAGGCGGCCATAATTACCCCTCATATTTGATTGCAAATCGAATCCAAACACAATAAGCGGATCCAACAATGGCTTGCATTTGCACCCACGCGTGACATTCTAATTTCAAAGTGTCAATAGCTCCGGAAAGCCGCCTGGTCGAGTTCAAAAGATGAAAAGGATGCAGCTATACACGGGAGGGAGATGAGGGTACAGATTAGCGTCTATTGTGATGGATGACGCAGCAATTTCGCAGTGCAAGGTGCAATGCAATGCAACCCATTTTTGCATAGAAATATAGGTTTTTGGGTGAAATGTGCGATAGCGCAATGTGTGCAACCATCTGCGTTCAACAATTGTTTGTTTAGGATGTTGCATGTTTATTTGTCAGCTGAGGGTCTCGCTGACCTGCCACGGTGGTTGCAAGGGTTATACTTGGCTAGAATTTCGCCGACGTTTTTATAAAGTTTTGTATTGAACGATTTTCGGTGACTGTGCGTTGCTTAAGGCTCATTTAATTCAGGGAATTGTAGCGTCAGTTATTGTTACTTATAGATATGTGTGGTTAATTATAAAATTTGTTATATATACACTTTTTATTAATATATAGTAAAATTACAATTTTACAATGATTTACAATGCACAATGAATCAAAACATTCTCTCTACCTTTATAATGTCTAAGAGTGTAATCTATAGTTTACCAGAACTAAGAAAGATATCCTTTTTCTCAACTCGAAATCATTCCGAACTGACGGTAGATTTGACATATCATAAGAGTCTGTAATAGACCTACACGAATAAAGATATTTTAAATTTGAATAGCCATTCAATAAAAAAAATCAGTCTGTATTTTAACACAAATATAGATTTGTATATCACTCATAAAGCTGTGTAACTTAATAATATTTCTCTAGTTTAAACACTATGATTTCATTTCAAACACATTTTCATTGTTTGTCGCCACAGGAGTTAGTTCACACTGTGATCACGTATACAAACAATACAAGAGAAATCCCGCAATAAAATCGCTGTAAGATTAAAACAAACGTCACTGCACCACTGTCAAAATGACGTAACTTGACACTGTCATTTTGACAGCTTGAGTAATGTGTACAGTGCAAACAACACCCTTTCATTAGGGTTATTGAGAATTGTCAGCGTGTCAAATGATTGGGTTTAACATAATCCACCCTGATGCTGCAATATTAATACTATTACAGAGTTGCACATTTCGGGGTCAGCGCGATCCGCAACGCCCGGGCGGACATCTGCGCAAACTTGGCACGAAAGGGGTTGATGAGAGTGAAAGTTGAGGGGTAGCGGCGAGAGTGAAAATACACGTGTTGTTGCAAACTTAGTAGGTACATATTTCATTTTGTCTAAGTTCTTAGTTATTACTGTTTTATATTTGTTTGTGAAATACAGGTTCAGGCGTTGTACCAATCGAAAGGCAGTCAGTATTAGTGAAACTAAACAAGATTGTCTGT